GTTGGACGAAGCGTTTAAGCGTCAACGAATGTCCAGAGAGCTGCCGACGAATAAAATTAGCTGGATCACCTCCAGTTACACGTATTTTTATTAACGAATAATAAAATACGAAAACTAGTAATACTGAGACCGAGTTAGATAGAGCGTGCCCGCAGCATCTACAATGTAGCCATTGGCCAGCGAGATCGACGCAGGCGGATTTACACAGTCGAGCAGAGTAAACAGAAGTTAAGAATCAGGCTTCTCTTTTTGTATTTCATTCGCTCTTCCTTTTCTTCTGTTCGGCACAGTACAAAGGCGAACTGCCGAGTCTCGGGCTTCGGGCAAAAACAAATTTATGAAGGTCTGAAACATTTCCCCTGGACGATGCAGGTCACTATGCGGACCCGAGTTCGTGACAGTAATAGACAAAATACTGTATATACACTGTCGGACAAAAAGATAGCACAACCATAAATTTTAAGAATTTCTATATTTCTACACGAAATTCTACAAACATTGACTAATATACGTATGCATTTATCTCAAAGAACATAATAAACAGTTACACATATAAGTAATTAATGTCATAGATATTGTTTATAATAATTGTTAAATATGAGGGCGACGAGAAGATAGCACATTTAAAAGAACACACGAAAGAAATGAAATTTTTCACACAAATAACAATCATATGTATACTACTTACGTATTTAATAATGGGTTGAACTTCTATTCTTCTGTATAACTTCCACCATTCGATTTGCTAATGATTTATATTACTTTTTCATTTTTATTTGTGAAGGTTTTTGCCTTTTCTGAGTAATGCATTCCTTCAACTCCTGGATTGCATAAAATTTCCTATTATTGGCATAAACAGCTCGCCAAAGTTCTTCCCAACAATTTTCTATGATATTTATATCGGGAGACCTTGCAGGCCATGGAAGAACAGGTATATTTTGAGATACAAAAGAATTTTTCATAACTGCCGCTTTATGGACGGACGCATTGTCCTGCTGGAATGTAAAATTTTGATCTCCAATACGAATGACATGATCTCTAATTTGCACTTCAATTAAATTCTTATACATCGTGGCATACATTCGGTAAACAGTAAACTGTGCATGTGTACGTCCATTATACAGAGTGTAACAAAAATGTTGGTGGACCCGGAAATGGGAGACTCGTGAGGTGATATGAAACGAGTTTTTCCTTAGCGAAAATGTTATTTGTGGCTTTGTTAATGAGATATTAACGAAAAACCCCGACCAATCAGAGTGCGAGTCTGCCAGCCAAGCTCCCGCGGTAACGTCGGCTACCAATCGCAGCACGTAGAAACGAAAAGATTGAGGGGCGTGAAAGGTCAGTCATATTATAATACCAAAGTTTATCATAATAAAATCTACGTGTGTTAGTTTTCTACATTACTTCTCATACAATATTTGCCTCTGAAATTTATGTATAAGATAGCATGTACTTTTCTTGATCGAAGCTTTTTCTACAAGCACAATTTTGTTTGACTTTCAATAAAACTTTATATGCTTTTACAAATATTTTACAAATATGTATGTCCCAATTATCACGATCTATGCGATGTCGTTTTCGAATGTATTTCTCCATTTTTCGATGTAACGTATGTGATCCTTTAAATCTCTCATATTACTTTCATATTGGAAAGCCTAATAAAATTTTTGTATTGCATCATATAGTCCTCACTCAGAGGAACAAAAGTCTTAAAGCAACCGTAGGTCGTAAATGACCCATTGACTTGGAAAACGATGTTAAAAGTTTCACCGTCATTTAAATGGTCATCGACCTGTCAGCTGAGGGCGACTCCGCGGGCCTGCCCACCTTCCTCAGGAGAACCAATCTGCCCTGCTTCCACTCCAGGGGGACGCGGCCGGACTCTAGACAGCAGTTGAACAGCTGCCCAAGCCAGGCTCCAAGGACTTCTAGGGCCAAAACCGACAGACTGCCGGGAATGCCGTCGGGTACCCAGACGCCTTATAGTCCAGGCTATCTCTTCGCGAGAGACCTCCAACTTAGCGGACCAATAGATTGGGTCCGCCTTATGCAGGAGTCGTGGTACCTCTCCTCTATCTGGGAACAGTTCGTCCACTATCCTGCCGAGCAGCTGGGACTCCCGTTGCTATGTCACCGGAGGGGACCAAGGCCGCATTTTGCTCAGCACAAGTCGGTACGGGCGACCCCACGGGTCTCCATTCAATGACGCTAGGAGCTCTTTCCATGCATAGGACTTGCCCCCTCCTCTGGCCTGCTGGAGAGCAACCACTCATCGCTTCATCCGTCACGTCATCAAGGGGCCCGCTCCTATCACCATCTTCGAACCAGGCCACTGCGGCCATGAGGGCGTCCTCGTCTAAGCGTCGTAGCGCCTGTTATATCCTGTAGTTTCATTTCCTCTTTTTTTGCACATTTGTTCTGACCACCTTTGAACGAGAAGATCGAACGGGAACCGTCAATTCAGCGACACGTGGAAGCTACGTGCGTAGTCGTCCTTCCTCGAGACGTTGACCAGCGGAACGGAAACATCAACAATTTCCAAAGACCGCCCCGACGACTTGATGATTCTCTAAGCATCGCGAACAGTAGCCTGTTGCTACCCCGTATTGTGTTACCGAAATTTAAATTGGGCGCAAAAGAACAGAGAACCGGACCGCTCTCTGCCGACTTGCACTCGCGCGCGTAGAACACCGAAGCGCTCCTGAAGGATTCCTAGGGAAACCGTACCAACAGAATTTAAAAACTAACCACGTGATTATCTGGTGCCAAGACAATACTCGCGCTTTCAGGGTCGTATTTGGCCTTTAGTTTGAGGCCTCTCGGCATGAATAAGACTATCCAAGGGACAGGAGAACGGAGGAATAAGGTTTCTATCCAGGGGATAGGAGAACGGAGAAATAAGGTTTCTATCCAGGGGATAGGAGAACGGAGGAATAAGGTTTCTATCCAGGGGTCAGGAGAACGGAGGAATAAGGATTCTATCCAGGGGATAGGAGAACGGAGGAACAGAGCCTCCCTCCCAACGATCACAGAGATCGTTAGGCGCCGAGTCGACCGAAGGGGTACCATGGAAATTAGCACTCTACAAGGAAGCATAGGTATCGGTGGCTCTAATAAGGGCCGATTATTTAAAATTTATAACGAATACTGGATATGACCACCCTTTGTCTGTAAACAAGCGTATATTCTGCTTGTCATGTTAAAAAATTCAGAGAGGATCCTGATTTTTACTTCGAAAATTCGGTATCTATATACAGATTTGTGGTTCGTCGCCTGAAGACTGTCTACCAATAGCAGTGAGTAGCGGTTCCTTGGCAACGGTCGCGCAACACGCCGACAAAGTGATTCACTTGTGCGACGCAGCTACATATAGGGTGGGCTGGATGTATGTGCTTCTTGGTCATTTTAATTATATATATTTCTCCGATATTTTAAGCGATATCAAAAAAGTTTATGCACAAAATTTGTTTAACATGGAGGGTGCCATTACTGAACAATAAAAATTTTGTCGTGTCTTCTAAAATTTGAAGGTTAATTATGCTTTCTTTTTAATTATATTGAAATATTGTAGAACAAAAATATTGTTTTCATGTAAACGGATTCTTCTAAGCATTCTGCGTAATAAAATATTAAGGTACTATATGAAAAAGTTTAATAATTCGTGATATTTTATATACAAAATGATAAATATGTCACAAATTGTTAATTTTTTCTCGACCTATAACAAACCTATTTCTACTATGTTATGGTCCCTCTGATACCATATAACTTTTATGAATTAACTTTTTTTATATCTGTAGGAATAATGGAGATAATTAAAGTAATCAAAGTTACTAGCCCATTTTTTATAATAAACGTCCCGGATAGCACCGCACATCCAACGAACTTCCGTTTCATGTCTACTGTATATCCGAATATCCTACGTCCACTTTGAACATCCCTAGGATGTTCGTAAGACTTATATTTCGGATGTTCTAGAAACGTCCGTCCCGGAAGTCCTACGAATGTTCTTAGGATTTAAATTTCGGATGGTTTCATTTAGTATTTTCATCATTGTCCCAGTGATCAATTAACGGACTCTCAATTATCGAGCGTCTACTAATATATTTACGTATCCTGCAAAGTGACATATCGACTGATACTTCGTGATACTAGCGCTGCAACATTCAGTACAAACAAGCTCGTCCCCAGCGTATGTTTATTATCGACAATGTGAAGCAGACTGTTGTGGCGGAATGAAAATGGCTAATTGTCAAGTTCGTTGGTGCAGCAGGTGAGCGATCAATTATCGTTAATATTGGAACATTAGCCAGTTCGGGATGAACGGTGCGCAGTTTGCAACGATCGGAACGGGCGAGCTCAGTGAAAATTGCGTTCATTTCAGTGTTGTCCAGGGAGTTAATGGATTGTTTGAAGAGGTGCGTTATCGAGATGACCGCTAAAAGACTTGTTGGCTCCTTTTTTCTACAGTGATAACGAGTTTTCAATTTGTTAGAAACAAGCCAGCCAGTGATCGTCACTCGTTTGTGACATTATTAAACGGAGATTGATAACCTCTCTGTTGACAGAGAAGAAAGTAACGAATGCGAGACGATCTCGAGATTGAGACACATCAGCAATACGTATAGATTAATTTATTACATCCATTCAGAAAACATACGTTCAGTCGTTGTTTCTCCCGTATCAAGAACCGGGCGGAAAACAGTGATGCATGAAAAGTTTCGATAGTACAAGGCACGTGTTTGTAGTGGAGTAAAAGCTGCTGTGACGTGTGAATGTGTGTATGAATTTGCGTATGTGTATGTGTGTGTACCAGGTGCAGTGTGCATCCCCCTTATGAGTGCCATGCACCGTTCAGACCATAGCCATAATGTCATCCCGAAGGCTACTTCTTAGTAATTTACAAAGGGTTCAGTCTTCCATGAAGTACAGCGCATGGATACTTTCCAGGCAATACCTAGCACATACCTTGCTAGTGAAGTGTTTGTGGTAGATCTTCAGTGAATCAAGAGCATGGCTTCTGGTGCATCTTCCTTGGATAGTGCTGGAAGTAGTGGTGAGTCGGGTTTTCAATTTTCTGTATTACATCTTCGTACATGTTTGTAACAGCTCAATATCATAAATGTGAATTAAATAGCATACTTGGACCTATTAAGTTTATTATTGCTAACAAGACTTAATTGTAAAATTGAAAGAATGACAAAGAAAGGAATAGTGTCTTTTTTGTTACTAAAGTCAAAAAGATATTTAAAATCTTAGTATTTATTATAATAGACATTATTGCACAATATGAGATTTGTTTTTAGGAAAATCAGTTGCTTAAATGTACTTTTTACTTATTTACATTATTTTTCATTTAAATTTAATTAAATCATTTCATATGGTTCATCAATGAGTGATTATAATTGCACTTTGCAAAAAACAGTGAATCATGATGCTTACATGCATGGCAAAGAATTTCTTTCCTGGTGAAAGCTAATTGTAGATCAGATTATATTATTCTGCCAATTGTAAGAGCACACATTGTATAATGTACAAAGCAATGATTTCACTTTTGTGTTTATATCAGGTAAACAAGAAAGCTTCTGCTGTTTCTTGATTTTGTCATTGTCAAATTGTACATGCGCACACACGAACAATTGAAAGTACGGTTATGTATGCTTAAACAAGAGTTTAACAGAGAATTTACTGGTGAATACTTAACGCTTACGGAAATTAATCATTTAAAGTTTTAAAAAAGTGACCTTAGTACGAGTGTGTCAAAGTCAATTATTCGGGTTTGTTTATTTTATGAATTCAAATTGGGTATCGGGGGTCAATGAACAAACCCCCATCTTCCCCAGAAATCGCGATTTCGTATTATCACCTTTTATTGGCAATAGACAACCATTTACGAAATCGGCGATTCCAAAATCGACAAGACATCGAAAAGGAGTTAAAGCACTCTTTGATACCAGAGAGTAAAATTTTTATAAGAAAACGTTAGAAAGGTTGTTAAATCGTTGGCAAAAGGTAATACAGTAATTGAAACCAAAGGTGACTATTTTTCTGAAGTATTGTTAGATCCACATTGTGTAAATGTATCTCTATTGATTAAAATGGCACAAACTTTCTTGGTTACCTAATATTTAACCATATACATTATACTACCAATTAATTAAAGTTTTGTACATTGTGTTTTTGCAGATGGAGCACTCAATATGGGTAAGAATAATAGGCTTAGAAAAATCTTTAAATATTTGTCACGAAAAGATATGCATTATGTATTAATGGTTTTTTCCACAAAAATCTATTTATAAAGAATAAGTTATTTGCTTGTAATAGTTTACCAATTTTATTACTGTTTTTGGGTTTTCTTTTTGAAAATGAACTTACTTTTTATAATACAAAGTATAAGTTTCAGTTTAGCACATGAACACTTAATAAAATTCATTTTTACTGTAGTATGCATTGCACTGTTTCACTAATCATTTAGATTTAAAGTCATATTGTTATATTTCATTGCATTATATTTACTTTATAATTTGTATTATTGAATGCAATGTGTGTGTCGTGCATGAAGAAAGAGATAGTGGAGGCTATGGCAGTGTCGGAAGTCCTATTGGTGGTCCTGAATGTTGTAGTGATTACGATGGTTTGCAAGCTCAATGTGATCAGGCCATGCATCAACTTCAACTACTTAGGCATAAGCACTCCGATACTATAAGACGGTTTGTTCATTTGCTTTTTTTTTTGCTTGAGTTATTGCATTTGATTTCTTGTATAAGCTATTCAACTTTTGATAATTTTATGTACTTAACTAAACATATTATTTAAAACATAGGTGTGAACATACTATGAAGGAATTGGAATACTATCGAGGTCAGCATATACCAGTCATGAATCAGTTGGAGGCAACATCACAGGAAAGCTCTGCTTTGCGGGGCAAATATGGAGATTTAATAAATGATAAGCAACGTCTTGACCGAGAAGTTCAAGCATTGCAGAAGGAAGTGTCTGAATTAAGATCTCAAAATCAAGAAGTTCTTGTTTCTGATGCTACTAATAGTGACACTATGAATCAACATTATTTATCAGCTCTTCGAAAATATGAAGCCGTCAAAGACGAATATGACGCACTTAGAAAACGGTATGATGATTTAATATCATCGCATTCGTCAGCTGTTAATAAGGCAAGTGTAAATTACATTCTAATATTTTCGTTATTTAAATGAGATAAGTGATGTCTAATACACAAATGTCTACTGAATTAAATATAGTTGGAACTATCACAAGAAGAGGCTGCCAGATTGAAAAAACAGTATGACGACGTTGTGCAGGAACGCAATAGCGCTGTTCGTGAACGAAATGGTTTAAAGCAACAATGTACTGCTGCCATTAGGCAGTGGGACATTGCATTGAGAGAAAGAAATGAATATCGTGAAGCCTTAGCTAAAGTGCAGCAACAGCATGAAGAAGCAGTAAAGGAAATCAACCATGCAATGGTGTTACGTATGAAGGCCAGCAAAGATATGAAACGATTAACAGAGGAAAGAAATGCTGCATTACAAGAATACAGTTTAATTATGGGTGAGCGAGATACAGTACATAAGGAGATGGAAAAACTTGGGGATGACCTTACACAAGCATATACAAAAATCACATATTTCGAAAATCAGAATAAGCAATTAATGGAAGAGGTAAGCTCAGTTAACTAAATCTCTTCAATTGAATAAATAAATAAGAACGTTTGATTTAAATTTGGTACAAAACTTATTGTCGTGTTATTTATGTTTAAATGACCTGCTATTTTAAATAATGAAACGCACAGTATTTTATGTTATTATTATTTTCGCCTTGTACATTTTACAATATATTGGTTTCTTGCTATTTATATTATGTATCATACACACACGCGCGCGCGCACGCACACACACCCACACTCGCGCACGCGCGCACACACACAAACAGACGCACAGAGAGACACAAACACACGCACACACACAGAGACATATATATTGCATATTATTTGCCACTGTGGGTATGTACTATTTTTAAATGACCGTTCTGTGTTTAAAACTTACTTGAATTATTTTTAGAAAAAAGCTTTATCCTATCAAATTGAAACTCTACGAAGGGAAATTTCATCTGCCTTGCAAGATCGAGACGAAGCTTTAAAGCAGTGTAACGAGTTGCGTCAGAAGTTTGGTGATTACTCCGAGGGTTCGAACCGAGATCATAAAAATCGTATGGAATTGCGTTCGTATAATCATGAACGAGATAATTCAAATAAAGAATCTGAAAGAGAGAATAATGCGGCAGATTATACTAAACGAGATAAAGAACGTATGGATAACTTGGATCAGGCGAATTTGGAGTTGGATAAACTCAGGAAATCCGCAGATAAATTGCACGCGGAACTCGAGGAGGCCCTTCAGGAGGCGGAGGTGTCGAAACGAAGAAGGGATTGGGCTTTCAGCGAGAGAGATAAAATAGTGTTAGAAAGGGAAAGTATTAGAACTTTATGTGATAGATTAAGGAAAGAACGCGATCGTGCGGTGTCGGAGTTAGCGGGTGCTTTACGTGATTCTGATGATATTAAAAAGCAAAGGAACGAGGCGTCAAAGGAGCTGAAGGATCTTAAGGAAAAGATTGAATCTGGTGATCACGCATTGAGAGCAAGTCAATTCGTGCAAGGTTTAACGCATTCCCATGATTCTGCAATTGATACCGATATCAACGATTGGGAAATTCTTACCGTTCATTTTGATCTCAATCGACTTTGTTTGGATACAGACCGTGATTTGGGATTGACATTGGTTGGAGGTCGCGACAGTCCGTATTATCCAAACGATACAGGAATTTACGTTGCTCAAGTTGCATCGGGTAGTGTTGCTGATAGTAAATTGAGAGTGAATGATTGCATTGTGCGAGTGAACAACGTCGATTGCACATCTGTTTCTACGCGGGTAATCATGGAAACTTTGCGTGCTTGTTCGGTGGCATCAGCTACGTTCACAGTTAGACGACGACGAGTTACTAGGAGATCATTAAGGACAACGCAATTACCGGTTGGATCAGTTCCTCATGGTATCTCTTTAGAACTTGCAGTGTACATTTCGAAAATATCTCCTGGCAGTTTAGCTGCTAAGGATGGTAATCTTGCTGTTGGAGATAGAGTTCTAAATGTACGTTTCAAGCATGTGGATTCTGTTTGATAATTTATAATAAGTCCGAAAACATTCATTGATAACTAAATGTTTTCCTTTTTCAGATTAATAGTAAAGCAATGGAAGGTATAAATTCCAGTCACGAAGCGATGACAATTTTAAATGAAACGAGCACAGATGTACTAACAATTACAACTCTGAAAGGGATACCATTACCTTCTACTACTAGTTCCGAGACAATCACTATAGATGATAGTTTTGGTACAGAAAAACAAAAAATGGTTAACAGTTGTTCACAAACTGAACAAGAAAGGATGATGTTGAAAACAGTGTCGGACGATTACGACAGGCGATATATTGCAGCAAACTTTGGTGATAGAAGTGTTTACAAAATTTCGAAGTCGGTTAATAGTGAAAAGCCAAGTGGTATTAGTAATGCTTGGGATAACTTACGGGAGAAAATCGACATAGTACGAGGACGTAAACATAGTAAGGATCGAGAAGAAAAGAAGAAACGACATCGTAATTCCAGTCCAAATACTTTCGAGCAAGAGCAGGATGCGATAGCAGAATTAGATTCGGTGATAGAGAGCTACCACAAGAAAGCAAATAATGGAGTATTGAAACGAAGTAAGCGACGCGGAACCGAGAAAGTCGAGAAAAATGGAGGTACGTGGCCGAAAGCCAGAGGTGGACCTCTAATACAAAATGGCACCGGTACTATTTTACATCCACGTAAGACAAAAGAAAGGCTGCCCTTAAGTGTTCTCCTTAACCAACCGCCCAAGTATGACAGTTATAATTATAATCGTATTTCTAATCCTATCCCCTTAACCAGTTTTTCTAATGTGAATAATCGGCATACAGTTTATAAATCCGTAGAAAAACCATTACCAAATTTCCTTAAAACTGGACAATTATTTAGTCAGAAATCCTTTACTCCAGTGGTGCAGTTCAAAGATACTCCGCTAGATAAGAAACCGACAACTGAATTCGAGAACACGGAAAGTAGACTCAGTTCTACGCTGACACCGTCCGAAACTAGCATTGACTTTTCCTTGAAGTCTGGTAATACGGGAAAAGACGTAGAATATTTCTCGAAGAAGGGGGCGCAAAAGTATATTCCTAGCAACGACAGCCAAGTAGAGACATTGCAGCATAATAGAGCCCAATCCCAACTCTATTCCGGGGCCGGATCGTCAACTTCGTCGACCAGCGGCACGAGGCAGCAGTTAACTGGTAATTTTTCATTTCCTCCCTATACGCATTCGCATCCGCATCCCCATCAACAAAACTCTTTACCTTCGAGATACCCTTCCCCGCCATCTTTGCCGTCTGCACAGTCCGGGGAGTCGATAGGGCTTCCTGATGCACGATCTTACTGTTTCGAACCTTCGTATAGCCCTGGCCCGCAAGCAGGATTCGGGCATTTGCACACACCCTCTGTAGATTTGCATTATCACAAATCTCGCGCTCCACCGATCGGCACCACATATGACGTACCGGCATACACGCATGGCTACGAAGGTGGAACGTTTCCAAGAAAAAAGGAAAATCAACGTTTTCGAATACCGTCAAATCCTAGTGTGACATCAAAAAGCAGCGTGGGTAAATTGTCCACCGGCAGTATAGAAAGGACATCGGAAAGAGGCAGCCCGATGCCGACATTCCACGTGGAAGTACTTAGTCCGGGTACCGGAGGTAGAAATAACTCTGGTGGAACAGTCAGAGGAAGTAGTAGCAATAAACGCGCCAGCATGCCAGACTATTGTTATTCTCAACCAAGACCAGCACCTGGAGAACTTCGGAGAGTTCATATAGACAAATCGGTCGAACCGTTAGGTATCCAAATCTCTTGTTTGGAAAGTGGTGGCGTGTTCGTCTCTACTGTTAGTGAACACAGTTTAGCATCTCAAGTCGGTCTCCAAATTGGCGATCAGTTGCTCGAAGTCTGTGGTATCAACATGAGAAGTGCCACTTATCAACTTGCTGCCAATGTGTTGCGTCAGTGCGGTAATTCCATTACGATGCTGGTGCAGTACAGTCCGGACAGTGAGTACAGTGTTGTTATATTAGAACGAGTAGTAAATCCCTGTCACAATTTGCACTTTACGAAACGTCTTGCACCTTTCTTGTTCCATGTAATTATTATTCTTCTCGATATTGCATGGTTCTTACTTCGATACATACTCTTGTATTTATATTATTTCTTCTTTACTAGAATACAACGAATTAGAAGGATCTGGTTCTTCGAGTTCGTCGGAAGCTGGTGGTGCTGAGGGCGGTAGTCGTAGTGGATCACCGACACCGTGTAATAGCCCAGAAGCATCTAGAAAAACAACAGTCGAGCCCCTGGAGAATTCAGAACCTGAACGCGATGCTTCTAGTAGCTTAAGTGCGCAGCGTGATACGTCGAATACTTTGAACATCATGCGCGAAACTTCAAATACATTGGAACCACCTCGCACCATTCGAGAAAGAGACATTAGGAATTCTGCATCTTTGGAAGTACGAGGCACGCAAGAAAGAGAGCGAGAAATTAGAGCATCGGCGTCTTTAGATATTAATATTAGAAAATCGGAACTTCGAAGTTCAGCAACATTAGATAATATGCGTAATTCGGCAACTCTTGATACGTTACGTGGTCCTGCCAACACGTTCACTCGCGCACAGTTAAATCAGACTGCAACTACATTGCAACGACAAAACGCTACCGTGAGAAGTCCAACGCAAGAGGAACAAAATCGTAAAAGTCCACCACCGAATGAGCCCAGGTACCTATTTATTGAGACAAGAAAGTGTTCGAATTTGGGTATTTCGCTCGTGGGTGGAAACGGCGTTGGAATATTCGTACATTCGGTACAACTGGGTTGTCTTGCGGAAGAGGCAGGCCTACGTACCGGTGATCGTATCTTAGAATATAACGGTGTAGATCTTAGGCAAGCAACCGCGGAACAAGCGGCTTTGGAATTGGCTAGGCCAGCGGATAAAGTGACGTTGATTGCTCACTACGTACCTGAAAGGTATAATGAAGTGAAAGATAAACCCGGAGACAGCTTTTATGTAAAAGCAATGTTCGATCGCGTGGGTGAAGTAGGAGATAGCCTACAGCTTAGATTTAATAAAGATGATATTTTGTATGTCGACAATACTATGTTTAACGGCACTCCAGGACATTGGAGAGCTTGGTTAGTTGATCAAACTGGAAGACGACAAACCTGCGGAATAATCCCGAGCAAATTTAAGTACGTTTAGCGGATTGGCATGAACGGTATCTTAGAATGACGTTAAAGCATACTTAACAGTACTGTATTTTCAGGGTCGAAGAAGAGTTGCTTTTACGGCGTTCATTGGGCGATTTAGAAACAGATACCACTAGACGCGGTAGCACTAGTGCAAGACGGAGCTTTTTCCGCCGAAAGAAACATCAACGTTCTTCTAGCAGGGATAGCAAAGAGTTATCACATCTTACGGGAGTTAATTTGGGTTGGTATAGTGACAGTGGAGCATTGAACGAGGAAACTCTTCCAGCGAGTTACCAACGTGTCGAAAGATTAGACTGTGAGTATTTTCATTTTAATCCGCTTTAGTTTTTTTAAACTTTTAGTTTCTGAATCTTTAAAGTTTCGAAACATAACGAAAATCAGAGTTAAAATAAAATACAATTAAAATATACGATTGACTATTGCACGAAGTTACACGAAAGCAAACACTAGTCAAAAAGGCTGTACATTAGAGATGATGTGAACTGCTATTTCTGAATCACGAATGATTCGATCACGTTCGTTTCCAATCACGTGATTTGTGATTTTTCGTGATAGTTTCTGATCAGTGGAGAACACAGCAGTTCTTGCACGCGTCACATAACCTGTAGGTAGATATTCTATATTAACGACATCGAAACAAAAATGCGAGTTACATCGTACGAAGAAAAGGAATAACTACGAATAATAGATAAATGATTACAAATTCGAATCGACATGTTACATGTATGATTATAACAAATCATTTTTTTATAATGTCTTTTCTTTTTACTCATTTTTAAAAACGCAAATAGTAATATAAAATTCATTTTCAAAAATCATATTAAATATGTTTTTTTTTAAGGATCAAGATTACGATCAGGATGAGCAAATTCACTCAAGATAAAAAATCACGGTCGTGAATAATGTTTAATCACGACCGTCATCGTGATTCTGCGATCACTATGATAAATCACTGTTATTGATTTTGCACACCATTTCTACTGTACATATTGCTGTAGTATTTCTTGCTACTCAAACCGTAAACAGTTATAAATTTTATATTACGTTAATGGGTCATTCAGCGTGATGTCGAACACTTTGTGGAGTAATATTTCGGATTTTTTCTTTAGTGATGCATTATATAAACGTATCTCGAATGATTTAAAAAAATTTGTTAAATTGTGGATTTTACAGCTGTTTGAAACAGTGTCAATCTCTTTTCAATAATTATAACTGTTGAACTAACCAACTGATAAAAAAAAGCTTTATGGGTGCGTACAGTGGAGACGTAAAGGTACCTACTAAAAAATTATTTCAGTTGAAAAAATTTGTCAACCTTTTATTTTGCAATTGTTTTTACGAAATGCAATTTTATAATAGTAGGGCATTATTGATGAATTAAAAAAATAGGATAATGTCCTATTTGTTTTCTTTATGGACTAATTTTAACAAATATCAACACTTTAAAATTGGCCGTATAAAAATTAATTAAATGTAACTCTGCGTCGGAGCACAGCGGCTCGACGGACCAAGCCATGAAACAAAATTTGACCTACTTCTCAAAAAGGCATGCTATGATTAGATTTTCTCCTAGACCTTTATTTTTTTAAACAAATTGAAGAATATCAGCCAAAATTGGTGCGTTTTGGTGTCTTTTTCACTTTGATCTTTATTTAAACATATTTAAATGTCTATAGTATAATGACAATTCTCATAATTTTGTTCGGGAGAGTACAGAAAACTATTTCATGTCAAAAGAACTGTAAAAACACAACACAACCCAATCGTTGAAAAATTGCAATTTTTTTCATAATTGATTTTTTTTAAACTGGACGTGCTAGGAAGAAATGGATTGCAAATTTATATTTAGCTTATAAAGATCTATTAGAACCGCTTCTGAACGGTTATTATGTAATAGGAAAAAGGTTAAAATTTGTTGAACAGTGTTGAACAGTGTATCGACACTGTCAAACCCCATCTACAACCAAATAACTACCACCACTATTTTTAATGAACTTGAAGAAAGCGTAAATTACCGAAACCGATAAACTTTTGGATAAAAAAATATAGCCCACAGGTGGTGGTGGGGCGGGGTAGTTTTAGCACAGATGGATGGCCCCTTTGAAAATATTGAGGGTTTATTTGAAACATTTTTTTCGTACGATATATTGATTTGTGACGTTAAATGAAACACCCTGCATAATATACTTATTTAATATAGGAAATATAAAAATTGATAGTATAAATTACTTTTCCACAGAAAAAACATCGAAAAAATCTATTATACTTATGATAATATGTCGCTACTATAAAAGAATCAATATGGTGGCCTTAAAACATCAATAAGAAAAAAAAATTGTTCATTATTTTTTAATTTCTTGATTTTTTCAATTAGGATATTCAACTAAAATATTGCAAAAAATTCTCGAACACGTGCCCTGGTAAATACCATTTACCAGATTTTTTACCGAATATTTGCACGTCATTAACCAGGGAAAGTAGAGGAAAAACCAACAACCCGAATTTTCCCCATTACTACCCTCCTGATTGAGATAGAGGGCTGAAACTTGGCACAGACTGTTTTTTTTTTCTAGATAAGCTATCGATTGAGATACCACAAGTCCAAATCGGTCTAAGGTCACTTTTGACCCCTTTACCCATTTGTCTTTTTGACCACTTTATACCCTTTATTAGCAAGTTCTAACATATTCTATTCCCATTTATTTATTTATTTTTTAATATATAATATACATTTATGTTAAAAAAATGTTAATTTATATTAAAAAAATTATTTCCAATAATCCATTTAGTAATAAATTTGTTCGACTTGGAAAATCCAACGTTACAAAACACACATAAAAATTAAATTATAATTAAACCGTTTAACATTTTCAATCATTATCTATACTTTTATTTTTGCACAGATCCAGCGTTAAGACCGATACTAATTATTGGACCGCTAAGCGAATGTGTGGTGACAAAACTCTTGCAAGAATTTCCGGGGCAATACACCAGGTGTCTTGCAGAAGCTATGCATTGTTCCCAATCGACGCTCGAACAAGGTCTGCGTGACGCACTTTATGTAGACTACAGAAAAAAAGGAAGCTATTTCGAGTGCACTACGGTACAAGCAGTCAAGGACATCTGTGAGAAGGTAAGCTATTATTTATCCAATGTTGTACGTGACATTGATAATGCTATTTATATTAAACACCTAAACATACTGGATTAACCTTTAGTCAGCCGGAATTTTTTCATGAAAGAAGTGGTCTTTTTTCTCCAAAAATGGATGTGTATATATAACATATGCACTGTGCTGAATTCTAAGTTTTGTCAATGTTCCAAAAGGGATACTACCGACAGTCTAAAGGTTAACTAGATAGAAATTAATCATTTGATGCTTATATAATTTTTTGGACATATTTTACGTTCTTAGAACATTTTAAATAAGTTTCATTAACACTTTTATTTTTAGAATACTCATTGCATTTTGGATGTATCGATCGCATCGATTGAACGGCTTCACCGACATCAAATCTATCCAATAGTATTATTGATCAAATTCAAGAGTACGAAACAAATTAAAGAAGTGAAGGATTCCAGATATCCAAGTGATAAAGTAAGTGCTAAAGCTGCAAAAGAAATGTACGAGCAAGCACTGAAATTTGAGGCCGAATATAGGCATTATATTTCTGGTGAGTTGACATCTTTTTGTATAAAAATTGTTTGCAGAACAGTAGATTTAAGTTTTATTGATGCGGCATTCACGATTTAAAGTACATTTATGAAATAGCTTAGATAAGTAATGGTAATTAATTGTTGTAGTGGTAATTCTAAGATATTTTTAGAACATCCTTTTAACGCTAAATAAGCTCTTCCAGACTTATTTAAATGAGGCTTTATACATACCTGACAGGTCCAGTGTAAAAAGGAGTTATGCCACCAAATGTTGAAAAATAAGATTTTTATTAATTCTGGCTCCTCTTGGTGTCCAGTTATTATCCCGTAATTTATAATTATGTGGCAAAATTCCTACCTATACTATGATTGGGGTGTGTGTGACTGTGTACGTGTACGTCTAGAGAACAGGCTTAGCCAACATATTGTTGGTAAGGACGATATCTTCCTTACCATCACTCATTGTGAGTCATCAAGGTGACCTTGGAATCTCTGAAATTCCTTTACCCGCCAAAAAAGCACATACCTTAAAAGATGTGCCCCTTGATGCTATTTAAGTTCACCGCCTCAAAATTTTCATAAAGTGTACCGTTAAGTCATTATTCGAGGTGATCATGTTAATTGAGACATCCTGTGTATAAAAAAATTGTTTGGACTTGGTTAGGGGGCGCTGAGCCATTGGACATTATACATGCCCATTGGACGATACTATCGGTGTCGAGTACACGTAGCTACGGCACTGAAGAATCGAGGTAAGCGAGCGATGGTCGCGTGGCGGTAAAACACCGTGCACACGTTACCGACGGATATTTTCCCGACCAGTCCGAATTAAAAACCATACCGAAATTTTTTCTGGATTGTTTCTACTTCACAAATGTCTACAAAATTTGTGCTAGGTAAAGAATTTTTCGTAAAAATGCAAAAATAGTGCACAGAAAGCAAGAACTTGTACCGAAATGTAAAATACCGATATTATACCGGTATTTTCGGTTGAACCTTCGCCCTGTACAAGCCTATATAAGCCCTACCCTTATAGAAACCGAAAAAATGCCGGTATTTATTTCGGTTTTCGGTAATACATCGGTTTCAGTATAGCTCTGACGGCATAATACCGGTATCACAATCATACCAGCTTAAGTCCCTGATATAAAGTACACACATCGGCTCTTTTTTAAATTTTCATGGCAATTTACAAGCATCAACAATTACATAATTTTATAACTATATACACTGTTATATTCAGGAAACTCTCATCTATCTTCCAAGATTGAATTGAACTTCTTAGCGGTTTTAGTTTTCACGTAAAACGTCATATGTTTCCAAAATCAGATGTTTTTACAAAAGCTCGAGTTTTGCAATTATATTCCAACTTCTATACCGCTGATTTGTTTGTAATTTTAATTTGTTTCAGCTGTAATTCCTGCCGGAGTGAATGTAGCGTACATATGTACGCAAGTGAAATCTGCTGTCGATGAAGAACAAAGCAAAGCGCTGTGGGTTCCTAGAGGGCTTCCCTGACGTTTAAGGGGGGGCCCCCATAAACCGCAGTGGAAATCAATTTAAATTCCACCAGGGGGCCTTTCTGATGTACGATCATATAAAATTTTTACAAATATATTTATTTATGGTCTCTTATTTGCTTTTACAGTATACAAATATTTCAATACTATTTAAGGATTTGTTACAACGGTTGTTTCAATTATATCGGTTGGTTCACTCATTTCGGTTGTGATGCAGTCCTGTAAAGGTTGCAATATTGTTCCTTTTGTTTAATATATTTTAGTTCATCAAAATCTTTTGATATAATCTACCATTTTATTCCAATACGTTGTTTTATACCGCTTCTATCTGGAAATGTTTCTAAAGATATTTTGGATTTTGATCATTATTTTCTCCAAATTATAATCAAAATTTTGCAGAGCATGCAAGCGTTTACATCAAACATGCTCTTAATATACGTTTAATAATCTCATACTTCATAGTATTAATTAACAGAAAATACAAGAGAATCCTTTTGTATCAATTTTATATCACGTTTTGCATTTATTTTCCACACGAAAATAAGAAAATATTAATGCTTTTCTTTTTAGCATTTATTTAATTTTTTAAGCATAAACGCAGATTTTCTTTTATAATTTAAAATTCTTTGTAAAAATTCTTATCTATATATCAAGAAACTGGAACAACTCGCTAGTCTGTCACTTTGCTTCGAAGCTCGATCAATCGTAGTTTCTTAGTAGATTACAGTATATTTTGCAACAGTGTGATGTACAGTAATTGGCTCGAGACCATAAATGAATCTGTGTAGTAGATATAGAAAGAAATTCGTCGTACCGTGGCCCACTAAACAGTTGGTGGAGTGAATATAAAATTTATTAGTTAGCAAATACCGTTTAGTCAAACGCATTTTTAACTAGTTGTTAACCCCTCAAATCATTTCGGTTGTACAGAATAATTTTGCGCGATTAATATTATTGTACAGAGGATGTAATATTATATATAGAAAAGATATTACTTATTTGTATATAATTTACTTACAGAACATATGGACTATATGCATATTATATTTTTTAGTTCATACGAATCGCTTAGATTTAAGTTGTACCCTTTAGTCATAGTCCTTTCATAAAGCTGTTTGGGTCATTGCACGTCAAATCGATCACTTTTCTCCCTCGAAGTGTGGGATTTTTTTAAAAATTGGCTATGATGTAATCCATGTGGGATTAAGAGGGTTGTAGCCATCATTTTCCGAGTTTCGAAGTTGTTTAAGGAATAGAAGTCTTTCAGTTTTGCGATTTTTGCCCATTTTCGTGAAAATGGATTGTACCTACGAATTTATATTCTTGGAAACTATTTATCGTATTTGGCTGATTCCTCTTTCGATTTCGAATATTAACTATGGAGAATGTAGAATTAGGAAAACTTATTTCTAAAGGTTGTGATTACTGAACAGTGTAGAAGGTATACAATTCACATTAAGGGTTTAACTTATACGTCAGCGGGACGTTCGGACATCGACCGTGTTGTACTGGTCCTGTGCTTCTTGTAAGCATCGCGTAATAATATGCGTCGAAAGGAAGCGAGGCACCTTTGATCGCATTAGAAAACCGACAACCGTTGGAACGTCTCCCGAGACAGCCTCGCAGTATCTATACCAGAGGGTACCCCTACTGCGCGGTTCAGGCTGCCGCAAAATCACTAACGGTGATTTATCACAGTGATCGCCGAATCACGATCACAGTCATGGTTTAACTTCATTCACGACCGTAATTGCGATTTTTTTATCTCGAGTGAATTTGCTCACTGCAATCGTAAGTCCTTGGCGTTTAAACAGAAAAACGTATGCAATGTTATGTTACGATGAATTATATTGCTGTTTGTGTTTGTAAAAATCAGTAGAAAAAACAAGAAATTCTAACAGAATGATTTGTTAGGTAACATGGAGATTATAATTTATAATCATTAATTTATTCATTATTCTTCATTGTTTCTAATTATTCCTTCACTTTATACGATATAACTCGAATTTTTGTTTGGATATCGTTAATATAAAATATACAAGTTATGTGTCGCGTCTAAAAAACTGTTATGTTTCTCCACCAATCAGAAACGAACACGAAAAATCACGAATCACTGTGGAAAATCACCGTGATTGGGAACGAACATGATCGAATCATTCACAAGTAGCAGTTCACGCCATCTCTACTCGCGCGCTACTTACGGAGCGTCGCATGCTACGGCGCTACGGCCCGTAACGCTGGCGGTGTGCCGGGAAGACCTATCCCCGTACGAGCTGCAGCGCCGTAGCATGCGACGCTCTGTGCGTAGCGGACGAGGCAGCTTAAGCCGCGTAGTGGGGGTACCCCCGGAGTGGGGCACCGACTCCGGGAACATAAGTTACAGTAGACTCTAACTATATTGCCATGTTCGAGGCTGTAGGAGAGTAAAATGGTAATGAGTTCAGAGCCCCCTCCATGCTAAGTTCTGTCGCCATGGACTCGGCCATGAGCACCTGCGGAAAAGCTGGATCGTGCTGGTGCGCCAGCGTACGCAACGTGGTGGGAGAGCGAATTTGTGTACACGAAAGTACGTGTGAAGGGGAAGTGCCTCGTGTGGCAATGTAGTTAGAGTCTACTGTATACAACTCTGGTCTGGGTAGGGCCCCTCACGCGCCTGCTTCCCCTTCCAATCATTCGATTACGCCGTGTGTTTCGTAGATAAAAGAAGCTCAAAGTCCTGTCTCTGTTACTCCACGAACGGTGGTGGAGGACGGCTCTAGACTCGGAAGAATATTTTATGGAGAATACTTAACGAATACGGAAATATTTTGTGATAAAAATTTGTTTATAATTTTCAGAATTCCAAATACGATTTTTCGATCTGAAAGAAATTTTTTCAGGAAGGCTGATCCTTCTGGATTAAAACAAAAAACTAATCAACTGAATACGATAAATAATTTCTGAGATATAAATTCATAAGTACGATCGATTTTCACGATAATGGGCACAAATCGTAAAATTGAAGGGCCTATATTTCTTAAACAAATTCCAAACTCGAAAGATGATGATAACCCCCCGTCCCCAATTCCACGTGCACTACATCATACCCCATGTTGAACAAGATCCCAGACATCGAGAGAAAGATGTGATCGATTTGGCGTGGAATGACTTGTTTATATAAAATTAATTCGTCGATGATGCAAAATAATTGATTTGAGGGGTTAGGTTTTCAATGTTCCAAATCGAGGAACGAATAACCGCGAAGAAAAAAGTACGGAATTGATAAAAGACGGTTCATTTTTTACCGTTGAATTTGTAAATATCTGAAAGTAAAAGATAAGCTGTAAGTGTCAGCGACATAAACTAGCTTGATATCACATGCGTAACAAATTAATACGTAATGGTGTGAATTAGTGCCCTTTTATTTCAAAGATAAATTTTATTTTATAAATTTTCACTACGATAGTATTTTTTAAATGAGCTTAAGATGCTTTGTACGTGCAGTTATAGTATTTTCGAGGAAATGTATTTAAAATGCGAATACGTACCGCTGTGTATCTACATTCAGAATTCATTGGATGTTGTCAAATATTTTCTCAACTGTTTTTCATATTATACTATCAACTGTCCTCCATATGCTTTCATTATTTCCCAATTCTAAACACAGTATTTAAATCGTTTCACCTTAAGTTCACTAAAGCTCGTGATAACAACCGTGATGAAAATTTTTATATTCTCTATCGTACCTGAATGTAGATACAAATTTTATAAATATTATTTATATACACAAAAAAGGTACATTAAATGTACTGTTAAACAGATGACAAAGGCTATTTACGATGCTTCGATACTTAAATATATAACTTTCTTTTTTAAATAATGCCTTTCTGACGTTAAAAGAGGCTTGTCTTTTTTAATAACATGGATGAATATTGAAAGATCATGTCAAAAGCACCAATTCTATCTTGTGTTTACAGTTCAGGAATTGTCGTAGTTTACGTAAAATTGTAAGTATCACGGGTAGGAAATATTTGATCGGGAATTGTACTTGAAGAAACTGTGAGGCCAAAGGTGAAAGACAGTAGAGTTAATGTTGTCTCCGTGGTATATGTACTATGCTGAAATGATGCGAAGAAGCACCATCCAGGTCATAATGTTATTTCTAATTTGAAATTCGAATGGTTGAATAATTTCGATGTTATAGACATATTTCCCTTTAAAACTAGGTAATTGATTAAAATAAAGAAATAAATATTCCGTGGAAGAAGTATAGGTAAATTATAAAAACTTAAAGAATTATTAATAAAATAATCATTCTTGATATTATGTATCACATACCTTTAGGTTTTCGTATATCACAGGAATAACAGACATTGCTGTTGTCAATATTGTGGTCGTGTATCGTTTACCTAGCACCAGCAAGAATTATTGGGGCACCATAGTCATAAAGCAATACTGTTCAACATAATCTTCAGAGTTCAGAGATCTTTGTTCACTTCATTTCCGCTAATTAAGTAAAGGAACGGGGCTGCGTTAAAAAACTACTTATTGGTAGAGCTGTCACATCACTACTTCCTTATTATTTACATGTATCCCAAATACCTCATATTTTTCATCAAGTGTGCAGGTTACCCACCGTAAACATTTGACATAACTAGACATTACATCGTTAATTTGAGAATTAGAATTACTAATTTAGCTTGCTAATAACCTTTAATTATTAGTATTAACTTCAATGTGTAGAATCACTGAAAGTCATTCAGCCAAAATCATGGACCCTGAAAGTTATGGTACTTATTACGAGTGCAACAGTTTCTGAAATATTAAAAAGTTGTGAAAATTTGGAGTGTTATTGACATATTTTTATGTGATATCGGTTATACAAAAAAACCCTTTGGTACAAATAGTACATTTTTTGTCGATAGGCTCTTAAGATACGTAAGAAATTGCTGCTCATACGTCGTCAACAGTAATTTATAGGATATCGATTACAAACAGATGATTGCTATTAAACCATTAATTATACTAGTATTGTATAATTATTTTATGTCGAATTCCGTATATATAGAGCACC